ACCTTCCATCCTCCTAATTTTAACCCCCCCCAGTTAAAAAGACAGCATGGAAGCCAGTTGCCTAGCAACTTCCAAAATAGCAGCAGAGGTCTTATTATGTAATCTTGTGAGATCTCTGTAGAATTCTTGATAAATTAAAGACACCACTTCTATTATTTTGAGTGGCTTTAACTCCCTACTGTGGTTCTTTTTTAAAATTTCAGATTTTTCTGCAAACCTGGATGCTTCCCAAATCTATATAAAAATCTCCCAACTCTCCCTAGCCCCTCTATGTGGATGTTCTGATCCTCGGGTCTGGGGCCTGATCAGGAATAATCAACATGACAAGCAAATTGCAGTGGGAGATAAGGATTTTTTGTCAAATTCTATCTCCCTTTTTCCATTAACTGAAATTTACTGCTGGATCTTACACAACTCTCCCAAAATACTAGAACTTGAGGGTATCCAATGAAACTGATGGGCAGTAGGTTCTTGAGGGTTAACAAGGAGAGTGATTAAAATGTGGAATTCACTGCCAGAGGATGTAGTGATGGCCACAGGAATAAATAACTTTAAAAGGGGATTAAATAGATTCAGGGAGGACAAGTCTATCAGTGGCTACTAGCCATGGTGACTGAGGTGTGCCTCCACATTCAGAGGCACTAAGCCTCTGAATCCCAGAGCCAGGAGGCAACATGAGGGGAAGGGTTCAGCCTTTATGCACTGTTGTTGGCCAGCCAGAAGAACTGGGTGACCACTATGTGAGATACAATGCAGGACTAGAACGACCATCACTCTGATCCAGCAGGGCTTATGTTCTTAGGACTCAATCAATTTGTGCTTTCTAATCCTCTACTCATAGTAGGGTTCCAATGCAAAATAGGGACTGTCGCTTTTGCCAAAATGTATTATTGGATCAGCAGAATTTCCATAACTACCACAAAATTTCAATTCTCCTAATAACTTTTTATTAATTATAAATATTTATATCCCAGCTTTCCTCAAGGCTCAAGATGACTAACAAATCACAATCCATAATATCACAATTAAAAACATACAACATGTACTTGCAGTTGCAAATAATCCCCTCCCACCAAAAGATGTCTGCAGTCTATAGCCTCATTAACAGCAATGTTAGTGCTATCAATCACAAGATAACTTATTGTGCCATTAAGTTCCATTTTCTTTTCCTTTTTCTACTACATACACAACAATCTTCATTTCTCAGATGACAGTGTGGGCATATGAGCATTACTCTAGTTCTATATATTGGTAGAAATATTTGTACAACCATCCTGAGCTTCCTGGAAATGAAAACTATTAAGCTGTTTTCAAGAGACTCACATCTAAAATTAGTTTGGAATGAAGTTAGCAAAGCAAGAATTTGAGACTGAAGGAACTTACTTAATTTCTTAAGAACTTCCCTCTTTTCTTCTTTTTCCTGAATGATCTCTGTTGTACTTGCCTCTTGTTTTGGCAGAAGATTATTTAAGAAATTCATAGTACTCAGGAGTGCTTCTGTATGTAAATGTACATCTAAAGAAGACAAATTCACCTAACAGGAAAATAAACCTAGTAAGAATTTGTTTGAAATGAACCTCCAGTATACAATAATAATACAGAAAAAGACAATATTTATTACCTTTATCAACTGTAGAACATTCTTATAGGTAGTTTTCAGTTCTGGGGCATTAATGTCCGCCTGTTCTCAGAGGGCAGAAAAACCAATTAAATTGTACAAATGCAGTATAAGAAATATAATATATAACATAGCTATATCAAAACTTTACAGATAAATTATTTTACTATATGTTCCTTGCTATTTGTTTGGATATTATACCACTGTTTTACAAGTTGCTCTTCAACAGACTTGAATGTCTACTTCATTATCAGTCTGACATCCCTGAAATATCAGCAAAGGGCATATCTGGAGTTACACTAGCATTCTAGACAGTAAACTTCAGCTAAACATTTACAAGCCACTACATTTTAAACAAATTTAAAGTATCTTGGCAGGATTTTTTAAGCCTCTTTTTCCTTACCTTTACATATTCAAGTGCTAGAAGATCATCTGTTGAATTATCCAGTGTTGTAATGATATAAAGTGGCTTGTTTTGATCATCTAATAAATAAAAAATATAATCTAATGACATACACATTGTAAGTTATTTTTGAAAGAAAATGGTTGTATACTTAAGTATATACTGGAAAAATTAGGCTCTCATGATACTCGTGTAGTATATTATCCACCATAGGACTCTAAAGAGGCAGAATAGAAATAACATAAATAAATAAGAAATTACTTTTGCAAGCTTTTTGTTTCAAATCTTAGAAGTTGGTAGAGTTCTGCTGATGGAACAGAACTGCTCCACCTCCAACTTCCCACTGTAACTGAGTGCAGTTCCTTGAAATGCTGCACCTGGCAGATAGGGGACCTTCAGGAATAGCATGGAGGGCAAAGGAGGGGATGGGGTCAGTGAAATTCACCCCTCTCTCCACTCACAGAAGTGCCCTGTGCTGGCCTTTCAATCCAGCCCCTAGTCCAATATAGCTCCATGTCTGAGAACAGTAAAATTGTCTTTAAATTATGAAAACCATTAGATTTCAACAAAAACAACCACAGCAAGGATTGGCAAAAGGCAATTTACAAAACTAATCTTTAATTTAAACATGAAATATGGAATTGTGCTGACCCCACAGGTGACCTCAGCCCATCCAACAGTCATTTGTTAGAAAACATTTATATAGCAGCCCATACCCACAGAAAATATCACAGGGGCTGGGACAAATCTATCCCCCCCATAAATATAGATTTAACATTTGTACAACTGCTGAACAGTATATAGTAGTGTAAAAGTCTAGAAGATAGCTAAAGGCTGAAATACTGCACACTGTACGAGCTGAAGGCAGAATCTGCCATGGCTTGGGATGCCCTCCCCTACCATAGTGCCACCATGACTGTTATGTTTATACTCATGCAGCCAGGCAGTTGATATAAGGCATTGCAGCAATCTAAATTTGATGTTATCATGGCTTGCATCACAGTGGCAAGATCTTTCCTGCCCATGAAGAGCCACACCTGACTCACCAGATGAAGCTGGCAAAAGGTGTCATCACTGCCACCTGTTTATCCAACTGGAGGCCCAGATCCATTAATAGAGATTTAATGTGTGGAAATTGGTAGATGAAGCTTTTCATGGCATAAATGTAAGTAACATCCCATTAAACTTCTAAAGGAACAGGGCATTTTTCTCTTGGCCAGTTGCAACCTAAGACGGTGTTCCAGATAAATCATAATGCAAAACCATAGTTTTATGTTCCATCATACATTCTGTCCTCCTCGGCCCTTGCCTTCTCAGCAAACAATAGTTCAGTTTTATGTCCAAACCAGCAAACTATGGCTTGTGCTTGTCCTCCAAATCATAATTGGAAACCATTCTTTGATGGTTTCCAACTCTGGTTTGGAGGACAAGCACTAACCATCGTTTGCTGGTTTAGATGCAACCCCAACTATACATTTTTTTGCCATTTTAACCTGAATATTTTCAAAACCAGGGCTTTGAACTTTACTGTGAATACTACCTCCCACCCCAGATTTGTCTGAAACCTGAAATTAACGCCCTGGACTTATAAATCAATTGTTAGTTTAAAACATGTATATGCTTACCTTTGTACTCTGGACATATTAAGCAAATCTCACTAAGAAAAGCAGTAGCAGTCATGTCGTATGTTCTTAGCTTAAGTTCAGTGCCTAATTTTAAAATCTCTAGATGAAGGATTGGCTTTTCGACACCTCCAGCAAGACGACACACCTGAAGTGACACCTAAATGTAAAGATAACATTGTTATGGTAAACCAAACCTACAAAACTGCTTAAGGATAGACAGTTCTTATAAATGTAAAAAGTGACAGCAAAGCTAAAAAACCATTTTTCAATATGATACTGTCCAGTATATCTCATGATCCTTCTATAACAGTCAGGAAGCCACCACAAAGTGTTGGAAAAGTGATCACAGTGTACTGCAAAGTACTATCCCTCCTCCTGTAGGCCAAAACCCAATTGGCCCCTGATCACATATAGGTCTACATTGTGCAGATACAAAGGTGACAGAGAAATATTGTTTCTATGCTGCCATCATCACCATGGAGTAGGCTTTAATATGAACTCTAGCTTTGTTGGATTTGTCCAGCGTATTTCTCCACCATCTCTTTAGCTGTCTTCCTTGTCTTTTCATCATCTGCAGCCTTTTAGTAAACCAAGGGGCTGCCCAGGCTCTTAAACTTGAGAGAGGGTTCCAAGGAGTGATTGTGTCAATTGCCCAAGTCATTTCCTCATTTCAGAAGTCAACTGAAAACCAGTTTAATCCATCAAGCTACATGGGTGGATTATCTTAATTGATCCTTCACCCCTGCAGAGTCTTGGTATCCCTGTAAGACTAAATCCCAGCAAGTAGTGATCTGTTCATGACAAGGGGACCATCTTCAATCCTACCATCAGACCACCTTTTTCCTGTCCAGAGCAGATCAAGAGTTTGACCTGCACGTGTCAGGCCTGTTATTACCTGAAACAGGCCAATGCTTGTCATAGAGACCATGAAATTCTGGCCACTTCTTACAAGGTAGCCTTGGCAATGATGTCGAAGTCCCCCAAAACAACCAGGCTAGGCTTCTCATCCAAAATTAAATCCTGGATGGTTACTGTTTTGTCTGAAACTGATCTAGCATTTAAAAACAAGATATTATTTAAAGATATTATTTAAAAGCAAGATATTATTGCCAAGCAGATGACATTTATTTCCAGCTTTCTTACATTTTTCTGTCTTTATTATGAGCTCCAATTTTATTATGAGCTCATACATTTTTTTAAAAAAATGTAATAAGCAAGTAAGGCTTCTCTGACAGAGCAGTAACAATTTTAGAATGAATTGTACTGTGAATTCTTAGATCTTGAATAATATGGAAATATGACAGTTTCATGCTGAAGAAATAATCATCTGAAGAAATTTACTGTACTTTCATGAACAGAAACGTAAGTAAGATTTCTATAGTAGAAGGTAAAATACATGAAGTACCTCAGATATTTCAAATCTTAGCTGGAAGTCAGTCATATTCTTCATGGATTCTCGCCTTAGTGGCTTTTTTTTCACACTACCAGTCCTCCTCAAGGATCCCAACGGTGCTTCAAAAAATGGTAAGTCTTCCACAGGACTAGTTGGAGCATCATAGTACTCCTCTTCTGACTCTAATGATTATAGATTAAAGGTCAAGTAATTATTAGGTTATAAAATGCTTACATTTCCAATCAACTAAAGTTTATGCAGGCTATCCAGTGACTAGGTAAAGGTTTCCCTTGCTCAAAAGCCAGTCGCATCCAACTCTAGGGAGTGGTGCTCATCTCCGTTTCCAAGCCGAGTAGCCAGCACTGTCCAAAGACGTTTCTGTGGTCATGTGGCCAGCATGACTAAACACCAAGGCACACGGAACGCTGTTACTTTCCCACCAAAGTGGTACCTATTCATCTACTTTTAAGTGTGACCCTGCATCATTCTGTTTTTCCTGGGATAAGCCCCAGGACACAATAGGAACAATTAACCTGTTTTTCCACACAGTGCTACTACATGCCCACATCCAGGCTGTATTGTAAAAATCATTAAAGAGCTAAATTCCATTTGGTGTTGCTAATAAGTAGCTCTGTTTGCGGTTAAATACTAATGTATCATGAAGGAAGCTGGATATCTTCTTGTAAGAGGGTGCCCCAGTCTGCTGACCACTCATTTACAAGCAATTCTCATGGTGTTCTCTGTACCCTTATTCTGCAAATAAAATAAATATGGTATCTCCCTTGCCAATAGGAGGCAAACAGGAGGCAAACAGTAACAAACACACACACAAAATGCTGCTCCAGATACTGCCATTCAGATTATTCAGAATAGATTATTTGTCCCCTCACAGGTCATGAATAGTTTTGCTGTTTATTAATTTATTATTTTCAATTCTGTTTTCAATCTCACTTTTCTTGTAAAGGTCACATAACCTCCAAGCACAGCTAGACAGTCTGCTTTACGGCCCATGAAAACTACCTTTTCACTCTATGAAGTACAGAGCTTGAATCTGAAACTTATACAATGGGTATGCAGACAGATTGGGCAATCCCCCTAAATACTAAAGTTTCAATCCACTCAATCACAGCTAACTCTAAAGAGCTAGCACTTCTGGCTGCCAGACAATCGTAGCATCTCCTAGCTACGCCTACAAACATGGAAACAATCAGTCACTGATGCTGGAACCACAGGACCTGATTAGCTTGCATAGGATTACTTCAATAGTTCCATTCATTCATAGTGGTATGTTCTCAAAAGGAGGTGATGAGTTGTTGATTTAATCTACTCTGGACCTTCTTTATGCAGTGTTTCACCTTCTTTGCCTCCTACCATCTTTTTGTTTAATGTGCATATGAAACTACTGAGAAGATAGTATGGGCATGTAGATGAAGGCACCATGAATACACAGATGATCCTAAACCTTTTCCTTTTACAGTAGTTAAATGGCTGCTAGGAAATTACAGCCCCTTTGCCACACCCCTTTGCAATATGGCCACTTTGCAATAGGAGATGGTCATTAAAAGCACATTGTCCCTGTTCTTTAAACATCTTGAAACTAACATACCAATGACTGCTGCCTTCTAATGTCATCCCATTCTTAAATGTATAATCTGTGCTACATTTGTATATTCCAACTCCAGAAAGCAAAGGAATGGGGAAAAACCAATATTCATGGTTGTTGCTGTCCTTATACTATGGCAAGTGACACCAAACTGTAGCCAGAAACAAATGATAAGCCCAGACTGTGTTCCCTCATGACTGTATCAGTTGGATGGTCTCTAGTGAAATTCTAGATTTCATGGAAAAACTACATTTTGCAGCTTTGAAAGCCAAGAGACACAGACCCACTCATGAGACAAGACAGGAGTGTTCCACCTGCTCTGATGGAGTCTTTTCTTCAGCATTTCTTTCTGTTACACTGGTGAAACAAAAAGTCTTTGATGGGTATCAATAGCTGCTTTCCCAGTTACAGAAAGGCACTGAGAAATGCAAAGGCAGAAGAGCCTCCTCTCCATGCTGGTCAATGGATTTAACATGCCCAGAAAATGGAAGAGCTCTGTATTAACATCTAGTACAGACAGGAGTCACTTCAGTTCCATGTGGTCCAATTTCCAAAGGTTTCACACCAGTGACTACAAACAGATGTCAGTCCTCACTAGCACATTCTTGTAGGAAGAGAATAGGATCAAAGATGAACTGAAAAGCTCCATAATAGGTGAAATGCATGGAAGAAATAAACAAGCTGTTCTGAGGCAACATGGGATGAATCAGAAGCAAAGCATCACAAGCCACAGTAGACGGTGGTAAGCAGTGGGGTACCACAGGGCTCAGTACTGGGTCCAATGCTTTTTAACTTGTTCATTAATGATTTGGAGTTGGGAGTAAGCTGTGAAGTGGCTAGATTTGCGAATGACACTGAATTGTTCAGGGCAGTGAGAACCAGGGAGGAATGTGAGGCACTCCAAAGGGATCTGTCGAGGATGAGTGACTGGGCGTCAACGTGGCAAATAGGGTTCAATGTGGTCAAGTGCAAAGTAATGCACATTGGGGCCAAAAATCCTAACTATAAATACACGCTGATGGGGTCCAAATGGGCGGAGACTGATCAAGAGAGAGATCTTGGAGTCATAGTATATAACTCACTGAAAATGTCGAGACAGTGTGCAACTGCAATAAAAAAGACCAACGCTATGCTGGGGATTATTAGGAAGGGAATTGAAAACAAATCAGCCAGTATCATAATGCCCCTGTATAAATCGATGGTGCGACCTCATTTGGAATACTGGGTACAGTTCTGGTCACCACACCAAAAAAGGATATTATAGCATTGGAAAAAGTGCAGAAAAGGGCAACTAGAATGATAAATGGAACCCTTTCCCTATGAAGAAAGGTTAAAGCGCTTGGGGCTCTTTAGCTTGGAGAAACGATGACTGAGGGGTGACATGATCGAGGTTTACAAGATTATACATGGGATAGAGCAGGTTGACAAAGAAGTACTTTTCTCCCTTTCTCACAATACAAGAACTTGTGGGCACCCAATGAAATTGCTGAGCAGTCAGGTTAGAACGGATAAAAGGAAGTACTTCTTCACCCAAAGAGTGATTAACACATGGAATTCACTGCCACAGGAGGTGGTGGTGGCTACAAGCATGGACGGCTTCAAGAGGGAACTGGATAAACATATGAAGTAGAGGTCCATCAGTGGCTCTTAGCCACAGGGTATAGATAGGAACTCTCCATCTGCAGCAAGTGATACTCTGTATTCTTGGTGTTTGGGGGGGGAACAGTGGGAGGGCTTCTAGTATCCTGGCCCCACTGCTGGACCTCCTGATGGTATCTGGTATTTTTGACACTGTGTGACAGAGTGTTGGACTGGATGGACCATTGGGCTGATCCAACATTAGCTTCTCTTATGTTCTTATATAAGGATGTAGCTTCTGATCCTGAGAAGCAGAACTGGAAAATGATGAGGCAAAGAAGCACTGTTGAGGTATTTAAGTAGAGGGACCCATCTGTATCAGTACAGAGTCTTCAGGACATAGCCAGATACAACTATCAACCCTTTCTTCAAAGTAAAGCTTGACAGTGATCTAGAGAGAAATGGGACTCACTCATTATCAGACTGGAGATGAGTGACTGCAACCAGGACATTGAAGTTGTTTGCTGGGTAACTCACTTTCTGTACCAAATGTACTCACAGGATTGTATGTCCATTTAGCAGTACAATGTGGACTGGGAGAACAATATGATGTCAGAAGCAGTTGAGCATCTAAGTGTGCCAGAAGATCCTGAATTTGTGCCCGATTACATCCCAGATGGTTATCTGCCCTCACAATATGTCTAATGAGGAAGGCTTTGACTGTCTGATAACATACTTTGACAATTCCCAGACTGTGTTCCCTCATGACTGTATCAGTTGGATGGTCTCTAGTGAAATTCTAGATTTCATGGAAAAACTACATTTTGCAGCTTTGAAAGCCAAGAAAATGGAAGCTGAAGCAAAGGATAATGTCCCCTCCATCAAGGCCACTAAGGGTGGCAGCAATGATGGTAAAGCTAGTATGTCCAATCAGGAATGAAGGAGCAAATGCACTTGCAGCTGCATTGCATATTCAACATGGACCTGTTTTTATTAAAAATATATAGTTTTAAATGTTATTTTACTTTTTATGGCTTATGTTAAATAATGTGTAAAGTACTATAAGCTGCCTTAGGATGAAAAGATGAAATAAACGTTTAATAAATACTAAATATAACTATAGCACTCTTTGTCATTGGAGACTTGCAGCAAGCCCCATCTACTCCAGAAGCATCAAGAATTTTAAATATAGTTTGGCTTTTAGAGACTAGGATTTGGCAGAGTTGGGAGAAGGGGGGCAGACTGCAGATAAAATGATTTTAATCTATATTCTATTAGTGATTTTTCTATTATGCATTGTCATGGTTTCCTTGTATTTTTTTTTAAACACTGGAAACTATCCTACACCAGGCTTTGATGAATTTTGTTGGGCTGTAGGATCTGGTCTAAAAATGTATGAGCCAGGCTAATTTTTCATCATTCAGGGTTTCATATTAATGACCACATTTTCTCTTGATTGTTTATCTTAAAACCTAACCCTAAACTCTTCACAGTTTCCCATAACTTTATTAAAGCTATAAGAGGACTATTTTAGCATATAAATACCGTATTTTTTGGACCATAAGACTCACTTTTTCTTCCAAAAAAAGTGGGAGGAAAAGTGAGTGCGTCTTATGGACCAAAGGTTCAGAATATTTTTTTCCCTGTTTTCCTCCTTTAAAAACTAGGTGCGTCTTAAGGTCAGGTGCGTCTTATGGTCCAAAAAATACGGTAAATATAGAGGTAACCCTGGCTGCCATCCCCAAACCAAAATGCTAACTTTTAACCTTAGCCTAACCTCTTCTCCAGTTTTCAGAATTCCACGATTGCTCTCAAAAGCTCTACTTAATTGAATAGTGGGTCACTATATTGGGCAACTGGTTAACAAATAAATCCATCCACCACCACTGAATAGTGTAATGTTAAGGTTACATACAAACAAGCAATGACAAGAATTTCATTAACATTTATTTTTATGCCGTACAACAAAACATCTTGATGAAAAATGAAAAATGAACTTTGGGTTGGATCCAGCCAGCTTTTTTTTTTTGTCAATCTTGGCCAATTCTTCTCATAACAGCTGCATGGCTTTTGTCCATGCAGCTGCCATGATCCTAAACATAGAAATTTTAATGGTCAAAAGAGACCCCTTCCACCATTTTTCACCAGTGGAAAAACTGGTTGGATCCAGCACTTCATATTTCCACTGAGAATTGTTGAGAGACACTAAAATAAAATGACTGCTGAAAATATTAGGCACCTCAATGTAATTCCTAGGTACTATGGCAACCTGGTGCCTGGGATTTGTTGAACCCTGCCCTACATCCTAAAGAAATGACTGGCTAAACATCTAAATCAATAAATATGAAGCCATAATAAATACTGGAGAACAAATGGCTTATTAACTAGTTACCCACATTAAAAAAAAATAACATGAAAATATTTACCGCTTGATCCAGCTACTGAATGAAGTTCAAAAACTGGAAACAAAGTAGTTGATATTTGTGGTGTTGTTAGAAGAGAAGATACTTGTAGCTGAAATAGAAAGGAATAACTAAACTTTTTAATTTAATAAGCTCATTCAGCTAATATTTTTTTGCAGACTGCAGCTTTGTTATACACAACTAGCTAATTGTATAATGTGCTCAGCATTTTGGATTTCTATAAAGCCAGAGAATCATAAAGAATTAGAGGTATACAGGACAGTTCTTTGAGTGGTCATCTGTGCAGTCACACCCATGGGATTATGCGCCTGCGCTGATCCGAATCAGTGATATACAAAGCTCACAAAGGGATTTTCGCGCCCTTCCCCCAGGCATGCGCGGGAACCCCACTGTGCATGCTCAAGGGGCGCGGAAATCCCACCAGTTCCTTCTGACCACTGTCATGTCAATAACAAGAGAAAGTACTGAAGCGACAGCAGTGGGGAAGGATGGGTGGGTGGTGTGACTGCACAGATGACGACTCAAAGATCATCAGTTACAGGTAAGCAACCTGTTTATCTTCTTCGTGGTCTCTGTGCATCACACCCATGGGAGATTGAAAAGCAGTGGCTCACCTGGAGGTGGGAGCTGTTGCAACTTCAATGCTCTGTCGACGATAGAACTAGACGACCAAGGTCCACTCTGTGGAGGTCACAAACATCAACAGCGTAGTGCTTGATGAAAGTGTTCGGAGTAGACCATGTCGCAGCCCCGCAGATCGCCGACAGGGAAGCACTCTTCAAGAAAGCTGTGGACATAGCCACGGATCTCATGGAGTGCGCTCGCAAGGGCAAAGGCAACGGGCATTTAGCCAGCAGGTAGCACAGCTTAATAGTATCGACAATCCATTTGGAGAGACATTGTGCTGAGATCTTTCGTCCCATAGAGTAAGTGGAGTAGGAGACAAATAAGTTATTGTCCCTCCTACTCGTACGTGTCCTATTTCGGTAAAAAAGTAGCATCCTCTTTACATCCAGAGTGTGGAGGAGACGCTGTTGGTTGTCTTCCGGGTTAGGGAAGAAGTTAGGTAATAAGATCTCCGAGGAGAGGTGGAACTCAGAGACCACCTTAGGCAGGAAAGAGATGTCAGGCAGCAATCTCACTCCGTCCTGCAGGAAGACAAGGAAAGGTGGATCATGACGAAAGGCCACTAGTTCGCTCACCCTCCTGGCTGAGGTAATGGCAACAAGAAATGCAGTTTTCCAGGCTGCAAGTTTGAGTTCACAAGTTGCCATAGGCTCAAAAGGATTCCCCGTTAGATGGCGTAATAGCAGCAGCAAGTCCCACAAGGGTATCGGCGCATGGATCGGTGAATATAAGTGGAGACCTTTGAGGAACCTGTTTGAGACCGGGTGAGAAAAAATGGGAAAACCGTTGATACCGGAAAGGTAGGCAGAAATCGCTGACAAATACACTCTGATTGAGGAGTGTGAGAGGCCTTTGTCTGCCAGTGAGAGGAGAAATTCTAGGATCCAGTCAAGTGTGACAGAAACCGGAGGCACATGAGAGGGTTGTAAAAAGGCCAAAAAGCAAGACCACTTCCAATTGTAGGAACGTCTCGTAGAGTCCTTCCTGGCATTAAGTAATACATTATTGACTCTATTTGAAAAAGTCATGCGTCCACTAGATAAGCTGTCAGCTTGAGCTTGTGGACCTTGTGGAACAGGAAAGCTCCTCCCTCCGCCAGGAGCAGATCTGGCACCTGAGGGAGAGGATGACGAGCCCTGGTCAATGAGAGTAGGTTGGCGAACCAAGGTTGCCTCGGCCATCAGGGGGCAATGAGGATGCACCTCGTGTGAACCCCCATACGTTTTTGGATTGTTCTTAACAACAATGGCAGAGGAGGGAACATGTATAGAAACTTGTTGTTCCATGGGTAAAGGAGCCCGTCTCCCAAGGCCTTGGGATCCTGCGCCCCTCTGCAACAGGAGAGGCTGCACTTTGCGTTGTCCCGGGTGGCAAACACATCTATGTGAGGTGTACCCCACTTCTGGAACACAGGACGTAGGTAAGGCCAGTTCAGCTCCCAGTCATGACGTTGAGAGAGACCCCTGCTGAGCAAGTCCGCATGCACATTGGCACTGCCAGCGATGTGCGAGGCAATGGGATGAATGTGCAGGGGTATGCACCAGCCCCAAAGTTCCAACGTCAGACGGCAGAGACTGTGGGAGACCATTCCACCCTGCCTGATGTAGCTGAGGGCTGTTGTATTGTCAATACGGACACACATTGTCCCTTGAGAAGCGGCTGGAAAGATTGGAGGGCCAGTTTGATAGCGAGAAGTTCCAGATAATTTATATGGTTTCTCGAGGTCAAAACATCCCACTTGTGACCTATGGAGAGGCCGTTGAGGTGGGCTCCCCATCCCCAAAGTGAAGCATCGGTTGTGAGAGTCAGGCCAGGAGTGGGGGAACGAAAAAGGACACCTTGCATCAGGTTGTCCACTAGAGTCCACCAGAGAAGGGAGTCGTGTGCTTCCTGTGATGGAGAGAGACGAACCGCTTAAGACATTCTTAGGGGCTTGAAGTGCCAAAGGAACCAGAGCTGGAGTGAACGCATATGTAATCTTGCAAAGCGAAGGACTGCAGTTGTGGCTGCCATGAAACCCAACAGGAGTTGAATCTGTAAAGCAGACGATGTTTCCTGGAGTTAGATTTGTTTCGCAAGGGCAGTTAGAGTGAAAGCTCTGTCCATGGGCAGGAAGGCCTTACCTTCCTTGGAGTCCAGTATCGCCCCTATGAACTGTACTCTCTGACGAGGAATCAGCTGCAACTGTCATGGCTCCTGCTGACTACGAAAAAGCGGCTCCCACTGAGCGCAAACAAGCGGCCCCAGCAGAGGATCTAAGTGCTGCTGGGGATGAGGTCTCAATGCCGGAAACTCCCGCATTTGAGATTCCCCGCATCGTGACAGAGACTTCTTGTGGTTGACCCGGAGACCAAGGCCTCGAAGGACATCTAGGGCCTGAGATACCTGGCATGTGAGGAGATCCCTGGAAGATGCGACCACAAGCCAGTCGTCAAGTTACGGGAATACCGTCAAGCCACAGAGGTGAAGGTGTGCCACCACCACCACCATAGTCTTGGTGAAGACACACGGTGCCGTGCTGAGGCCAAATGGTAGTCTTCTGTATTGGTAGTGCCTGCCTCCTATCGTGAATAAGCGGGGGGGAGGGGACACCCTATATCCCGACATTTTAAGTACATGCGAAATCATGATTGGAGGGACTGATCAAATTGTGGCGATGGACTGTAGCAGAGAGTTTTTCTGAAAGAAAGCTGAGCATTTAAACTGACCTTAGAGACTTTGGCATTCTTTCTCGGTGAATGTAAACATCCCCAAAAGATGGCGAGGAGAGGCGAGGAGGGAGGCGGGACCAATGCTTTCTTCAGGAAGGAGAACAGTGGAAAGCTAGGTCATGTGACCTAATAATAGACTCTGTCTTTAAAGTGAATCGTTGGCCCTCTGGTGGCTAAAATGGAGCAGTGACCTGGATCTGTACTAAAAGCAGCTATATTTTTAAAGGGACAGTACTTGGCACCAATGTTCCCTCTAAGCTGTGGAGTCTTGTGAGCAAAAGTTTTACCTTGTGAGCTCCTGGCATTAAAGTTGTGAGCAAGCGATTTGGCTACTGCAGAAATTAGTTTGCTCTGGAGCCATCCTTCTTGAGCTAGGCCGAAAACGTGTGAGCAGAAGGCTAAAAATCTGTGAGCTAGCTCACACTAACTCAGCTTAGAGGGAACACTGCTTGGCACGCACTTTGATCATAGAGACTTATGAATGGTTGGAGACTCTAGTTTAGTTCAGTTGTGGTTGGACTGGCAAACGGATCGAAAAGCGGGTTTTTTGGAGGGGTAAAGGGCTCTCTACCCTAACTTCATAAGATCGGTTTGCTAAGAGAACGGTTGGATTCTCCAATGATTGTGTTCTTAATGCAACAAAAGGAAGGTCTCTTTTGATTTAAGACGTCTAAGGAAGTGATGATGTCCCTGGAAAAAGGAACTTGGTTTATATAA